GTGTTTCGTGCCCGATTCCTCTCGGGTTTGTTTCACTTGTGCACTAAATCTCTAATGCACTTCCAATCATACTATTATTATTCACTCTTAATAGTCTAAAAATAAAGGTCTAAAGTCCCTCAATTAGTCGCGTGTGTAAAAACGCGTACTCCCGATTTGTACGCGATAAAGTGAAATTTTCAAGAAATTCTTATAACGATAGTATCACTAACTAATAATTGAACACTTAAACATAAAAAATACCTATTTCAAGACTAATATACAAGTCTCCAGTTTTTCAAACTTATTGTATTCTCAAATCGATTATTGACTCCAAACGCGTATTCACTATTCTCACTTAACGAGTTTTCAAAAATTAAATTTTAAAATGAGTCATTTTAAAAATATAAGTAAGTTATAGTTCCATGTAATTGGGTCTAAAAAAGGTTGAAATAAAATATTCGGAGTAAACGGGCAATTAAATATTTAAATAAGCTAGTAATAGGAATTTAAAATAAGTAAATTTGCGAATCCTCACAGACTTTCTGGTAGAGGGTTGAGGAGTTTGCCGATCCTCAGCATTTTGTTCTTCGGTTTGATGCTCCTCCATCTGCTCAGGGGATGGATCAACAGTTGGAGCATCCTGTTTCTTCTTTGCAGGTTTCTTCACCTTTCCACCACGAGTTCTAGTTCTCTTTTTGGATGCTCTAGTAGAGGGTTCTACAATTTCTGTGAGGACTCGCAAAAACTATTATTTTATGCCTAATTTATGACTTAATAAATTATTTAATTGGGTTTTATTTCCAAGGAATATTTTCTAGTCTTGTTTGACCTAAATAAGTGGTAGTATATCTTCGTTATATTTTTAAAATGATTCGTTTCAAAAATTAATTTCCTAGAGCGCGTTTAGTAAAAATAGCGAATAGCGCTTGGAGATTTTATCCGCGTAGTAGCACAATAAGCTTGGAATATTGGAGACTTGTACTATGGTCCTAAAATAGGTAATCTTATGAATAAATATTCAAGTGATAGTTAGTAGTGCAATCGTTATAAGAATTTTTTTGAAAGTTTCGCGTTATAGCGGTAAAATTGACGGTACGCGTTTTCACACGCGCGACTTCATTTGAGGGACTTTAGACCCTTATTTCGGGACAATTAAGAGTGAATAATATTTACATGAATATATATGCATTGGAGGTTTAGTGCACTAGTGAACCAAACGCGCGAGAAAATCGAGCCGTAATCACACCAAACGGCCCCTAATGAGAGTTGACTTTTGGGTGATTTTGCACCACACATTGCACCTTCTCTTGGAAGCTAACTTAGATCAAACACACTCTCTCTTCTCTCTCCTCATGGCCGGCCAAAACACTCCCTCTCTCTAACTCCTTGTTCTAAAATTTCTGCACACTAATCTCACCCAAAACCACCCCAAACCACCTCCAAATTTAACCAAACTTGCACCACACCTAGCTTGACACTTGAGGAGCATTTTGAGCTGCAAAAGAGAGCTAAAACTCACGGTTTCTTGGAGCTTCAAGAGGGCCGAAAATTCTGACCTTGCAAACCAAAGGAGTAGGTAATGATCAACCCATGGATTCTTATCTTTTGGAGATTATATGGCAAGATTAAGCTCATGCATGCACTTAGTTACTTGTTTATGGTATAAAAATGTGATTGTGGGCTCTTGGAATTCCCACACTTGGGTTGTTGTTGCTGATGTGATGTTTGATGGTGATTATATTGTTGGTTTAGTGGTTATAATGATGCATTAGTGGTGGGTAATTAGTAGGAACTTCATTGGGTGTAAGAAGCTAAACTTTCCGATTTTGCCCCTGCCATGTTCGGCCATTTCCAGGCCAATTTTTAATGGTTTAATGGCTTGAATTGGATGTTTGTAGGATGTATTAGATGTGTGAAAAATTTCATTGAAAAATAATGAGGTTTGAATGGGCAAATGAATTTTTTTTAGAAACCAGCAAATCTGGAAAACTGATTCGCGTATGCTCTGACCAGCAGTAGTATTTTGGCTATAACTCTGTCCTCGGATGTCGAAATCATGTGCCGTCAGTGGCGTTTGAAACTAGACATTCCTAGCTTTAATTTGGTATATAATGCACGTTCTGATTCTTTGTGAGCAAGCCGAACCAAATGTTTTAAGTTCGCTGTCCTGTTACTCTGTTCTTCTGGAATGAAGTGTTCAGGCAGCAACTTGATGCCCGAATTTGAACCAGATGGGTGCCGAATTTGGAAACGATTTCTTCTGTGATATTTTAACTCTATGAATGTATTTTCCAACGGCATAAGCCATGCTCGATTTCGAGCTATAATGACTGAGTTGTGACTGAAACAAGTGGACTGCTCTGTTTTGGAAAACCCTAATCTTTGGACTGGTTTGGAACAAAATCTTGGAGTGAACTTGTTAGTTGATGTTTTTGATATTAAACACTTACCAAAGATATTATGGGTGTATCTTAGACCCTTATTTCACAAATGAACCATGGTTGGATAACTTTCTTGGTTAGACGATTGGAAATTGGGAAATGCAAGTCAAAGGCAGATTGCCTTAGGATTTTTCTTAAACTTTGGTGGGCTAATTAACTACCTTGCCGAAGGTATTTTTCCTCGAAATTCGATAGAGAAATACTTTCCATATAGTATTGAAATACTGCCAATTTTGGTGCCAATTCAAGTTCGTTTCGATACCCAATTGAATTACTAAAGTTAGAGGTTCAAATCTGGAAATTTTTCTCCAGTCTTGAATTTGCCCAACTTTGAGCTACCGTATCTCGGTGCTCGAAACTCCGATTCTTGATCCGCTTGTTTTGTCATACACCTCACTTGCAACCCTAATTGAGCTGCAAATTTCAGAGGCCGGTTTGCAACGTGTGAATCGTGCCGAATTTTCAAAGTTGGCCGAAATCCAACTTAATTCTGCCATGGAAACCGACCCTGCGTCTTCAAGCTCATTTTTGACCACTTTTCACTTCGATTCATGGAAAAGTGTCTTCTAGGAACTTATAGTACACTCTAAGAGGTTTCCAACGGTATAAAGTTTTCCAATTCTTGACTTATATCGAGCGAGTTATGATTTTTCAAAGATTCATCATAAAACTGAAAAAAATTTTCCAATTCCAAAGAAATAGAGTTTTTCAAAAACTCTTTGTTCTTTTGATATTCTTAAACGTTTTGCTTACGATTTTCAAGATAAAAACTCAAATATTATTGTACACAATAAAAGGCAAGTTGAACCTCGATTTACGTGTAATTGAGGTTCCTTTTTGCGAAATAATCCTTAGATTGTACTAATGTACAATCTTCTTGATAAGTGGGTTAATTGTATGATTATTCGCTATTAAATTGCCAAGCGCGCAAGGAGACCTTCAAGAGGATCTCACCGCGGACACTTGAACTCCCAGAAAATAATTCTTATTGAATTGCTCGGTGAGTGTCAAGTGTGTGAATTTTGATACTTGCTTATTTGTGGGATTTTGTTGAAAGTTTTAAAAATAAGGGCGGGTGCGTACTTTATCGCACTCGTTCTAATTTCAAATGAATGAATGAAATGTATTGAATGAATGAATGAAATGCAATGTTATGTCATGAATGCTTATGTCGTTGGAGTGAACCTCCTCGACTTTCAAATGAATGGGGGACGCCCAAACTCATAGGCCGTCCTTAGGCTCGAGCCAGCAATGGGCTTGGTCGGGGATTTGGACGAGCCATGAGATACAAATAAGCTCGACCTAATAAGAGGTCTTGCTTGGCATACTCGTTGAGTATCGCCCAATATTGGCCATTGTGGGCCCTTGGGGTGTACGGTGGACGGAGGGAAGTAAGTGGTGATCTACGGAAATGGAAATACTGACCCGGTTGACAGGAGGGTCAATGCGGGAAGGTATACGAATGACAACGGCAGATCGAGTGGAACTTAGCTCCTGAGAGCTACTATATCCTTGAATTGTTTCTGATTACTTTCCTGCTTGATTGATTGATTATTGAAAAGACATGGCTTTATTTATTAAATTTGGGATTGTTATTTGACTAAGTGCTTGCATGTGTGTTCTTGGCCTCACGAGCGTTTAGCTCACCCTATAGTTTTGTTTTCCTTAACAGGACCGACTCTTGGAGAGATATGGAGAAACCATCCGTTGTAATTTTGTTAAGACTCCTGTTATATATTTTGACTAGGCCCTGGTTTGGGTTGTACTTTTGGAAATTGTAAACTTGAAAAGTTTGGGCCCTGATGTGTACTTTGAATTTAAGTCGTTTCATGACTACCCGATGTACTGGTGATACATTAAGTGACTTGTTAAGCTTGAACGCTTCCGCATTATTGTATTCGTGTTGATCTCATCGAAGTGTTTAGTTCGATTTTAAATTGAATGGAATTGCTTGAGTCCTGGCGTGAGCTGGGCAGGCGTCCGCGGATACCCTTTGGTCCGCCTTAGGGAGATGTGGGGCGTCACAGTTGGTATCAGAGCTTAGGCTTCAGATCTCTGTAGCGTATCCTAGGCTTAAAGTTTAGGATGCTTGACTGTGGGATTAATTTGGATATTATGTGAACAAGGATCTATTGTATCTTAGGGGTTAAAGAAATTGATTATTCGGGAGTTCTTATTTGGGACTTGCAGAAGAAACTGAGGAATTAGGTGATGTTATATTGAAGGAAGAGATGGGATGAGAGATTTGAAGTGAAAGATTGGATGAATTTGAATTATCATTATATTTGTAAGTGTGGAAAGAAGGTATTTTTGTGTGAAAAATAGATAATGGTGTAAAAAAATATAGCTAAGATTGACTTCAAAATCCTTTGTGTTATGATTTGACCAACTAGGTGTGATGAATTTGCCCAAATTCGGATTTGAGCAACCTCACATGCTTATTCTTTTTCTTTTTCTGCTCCTTCTTAGACTACACTTTGCTGTTTTGGATGTCTTACTACCTTTATGCCTTCTGAATCCAGTCGGGCAGAATCTTTGTCAAGAAAATGCAAAGTGGCACTAGACATTCAACGAGTTGCTCAAGATTAGAAGGCAATGTCGAAGGAGTTGGTAAGCTAAATGTATAATATGTTGGGCAGTTTTTTTGAGGTGATATGCTGGTACTAATGAATGTTTATATTCACTTTATGGGTAAATTGTAGGTATGGCAATTAGTCCTCCCGAGGTATCTTCTATCCCGCGATCATCTGCTCATGATTCAACTACTCCATTCACGTTGGATACCCCTGTTTTCATAAGTAATGATACAACAACAGCTGGAGTTCAAGTATTTGCTCTTGAAGAACAAGAGAAGAAGAAGAAGAACCAACTGGTCAAATAGGCGGAGACACGCGGGAAGTAACTGAAGCTGAAGATGAATTCCAGATCCCTAAAAGAAATAAAACATCTGAGGCTTGGGATGATTTGACGAAGTTGAGGAAAATGGATTGAATTATGCCATTTACCTCTATGCTTTTTGTAGGAAGCCAAGACAATCAAACAATTCGACTTGCCAAAGCTTTGAAGATTTATGTTTCTAAATCTAGATTAGCTCATTATTTGGACCTTGTTAATTTATGAGACGTAACTTATTATGTATTGTGGAGTATGTTTATATTTTAAAGCCTTTTTCTTTCATTTGCCGAATGTATGACTATTGTGTGAGCAGGCTGGCCGCTGGTTAATGACATGTTAATGTGTAGGATAAATGTCTAGAAAACTTGTTTTTTGAGTGTGTCGTGTGTGGTATAAGGTTCAGAGGTTTTGCTTGTGGGTTCAATTCTTTTGCTCTTTCCTCTGTTTAAAATGACAGCCTGGAAAGAGCTGTTGCAATTTGCTGTAAAAGGCTCCAGCCTCTGGGATTGCATTTTAATGGTGGTATTGAGGTCATCTTTGCTAGGTCAGGTTAGTGACAAGAGTTTTCAACTTCATTCTTCTATATCCTGTTCAAACACTTGTAATTCTGCTGGACTATGGTCCATTTCTGAACCAGGAACATATTTTTCTGACATGTTCTTGTTTAAAGCAGCTTTCTTTAGTTAGTAATTAGTGATATTTGTGGGGAAAAGGAATTTCTGGATAGATCTTGGCATTGGTTTCTGAATTGAGCTTGTGGGTAGTTGGGATATTGTGGCTGTTTGAGATAATTGTTTGTCTCTCAATTTGGTGGCTCAGCTCATGTTTTGCTGAGTTTTGAAATTTTGTGGGGAATTTTGGTTAGTTTGGGTACTTTTGCAGCACACTTAGGAACTATGATCCGAGGAATTAGAATCATCCATATTTTCTGCTCTTGTGGGCACCTACCATTGGTGGGTAATTGCTGAATTTGAAAGTTTCATGTCAAGCAATCCAGCAAGTGGGAATTTCCATTTTTTCTTCTCTATTCTTCTTTGTGGTGAATCTGATTTTTAGGGTGTTAAAGATGCTAACTGTGGGAGGTAGAATGTGGATACTTTTAGTTGTATTTGTATTGATGAATCATGGATTTTATGCCTCATTTACTCCAGCTGATAGCTACTTGCTTGCCTTTGAATCTTCCCAAAACATCACCTTTGATCTGTTTTTTTCGTCAAATCGAGTCAAAAAGCTTGATAAGACTCGACTTGATAAGGCTCGATTCGAGTCGAGTCTCGAGCCTGAGGAAATTCTTCGAGTCGATCTTCGAGTATCGATTTTCTTGGCTCGATCGAGCTCGAGTCGAGCTCGAGCCTCTGTGTGTATGAGTCGAGTCGAGCTCGAGTATAGTGATACTCGAGCTCGACTCGGCTCGATTACATCCCTAGTCTTTCCCCATGATAGGAAGCATTCTTTATAGTTTTAGTTTCTTTTATTTGAATAAATTTTCTTTAAGACTTCGTAATGAAAGATTTTTCTCTCCTAGGATCTCCTAGTGAGAGTTTCTTCTCTTCTAGATTGTTCTAGTCAGAGTTGTATTTTCTTCTGGATTTTTCCTTGTGAGAGTTTTTATGTTTTTTTTGTGAAATTTGAGATTTTAGATCTATAATCTAGTTTCTTATATATGCAATTTCTCCATTATTGTTAGATCTAAACTTCTCTTTGGACTTGAACCAATTTTAAACAGATCTGATTGTCAACATACATGTATTTATGTATTGGATTATAGTGATTCATCCGAATGGATGATATATAGAAGCATCAATGTTACCTTTATTTTTATTGTTTTCTTATATCTGTTATATCCATTGATTCAGATTTATATGTATCGGCATTATGCTTGTTTGATGTATTGTCTATCATTAGTGCAGATTTTGTTTGTTTGTTTGTTTTTTTGCCCCCCGTATAAAAGAGGTGAGATTTAGGAAGAAATAAAGGATAGGGGATTAGAACCGAAAACTTCCAATTTTTAGAACTCTACTTCACCAAAATCGTCTAAGCATTTGAGCGCGATGTCAAAGGCCAAATTGCAAGTCTATATGCGAAAGAATTGATGATCTGATGCAACTTGATTTTCATCAGTCTAGTCAGTACGTTTTGCACCATAAGGCTTCTCCAACAAATCCAATCCTCCATCCACACCAACCACCCTTGCTTCTCCATCGCCACGAAGAAAGAAACCAAAATAAATAATCAATGATGCAAAATAAATAAATTAATAAAAATTAAAAATTTTAAAAAATAAATCGGGTAGAGAATTTGTGAAAGCTCACATGATTAGCGAGAAATACAAGTTAATTACTTGTTGCAAACTCTTTTCTCTCCCTCTCTCTTGAAAAATCTTTTCTTTTCCTTCTCTCTAGAACTCTTCCATCAAGACCTTCATTATCTCTCCCATGAGAGAGAGACCAAATCTAGTCTTTCCCCATGATAGGAAGCATTCTCTTATAGTTTTAGCTTCTTTATTTGAATAAATTTTCTTTAAGACTTCGTAATGAAAGATTTTTCTCTCTAGGATCTCCTAGTGAGAGTTTCTTCTCTTCTAGATTGTTCTAGTCAGAGTTTTATTTTCTTCTGGATTTTCCTTGTGAGAGTTTTTTTGTTTTTATTTTGTGAAATTTGAGATTTTGTAGATCTATAATCTAGTTTCTTATATATGCCAATTTCTCCATTATTGTTAATCTAAACTTCTCTTTGGACTTGAAACCAATTTTAAGCAGATCTGATTGGTCAACATACATGTATTTATGTATTGGATTATAGTGATTCATCCGAATGGATGATATATAGAAGCATCAATGTTACCTTTATTTTTATTGTTTTCTTATATCTGTTTATCCATTGATTCAGATTTATATGTATCAGCATTATGCTTGTTTGATGTATTATCTATCATTAGTGCAGATTTGTTTGAACTAAATGATCTTGTCTATAAAAAAAAAGCAAGAAAATATCATATACCAAAAGATACCTAGAAATCAAATCATTGGGTTCACTGCAAGTCTTTGAACTATGGTATAATGAAATCTTACATACATAAAATAAGAAAACAATCCATTTTCAGATTGTAACTTGATGCCAGCATTTTGTTTTTCTTAGTCAGATAAAAGAACCAAAATTAACATTCCATGAACTACAATCATTATGGTGATAACAAATTCACGTCTATGGTTAACCTTAATCAAGAAAGTGCAACACTTCTCACTACTCCCTTTGGGTGGTTAATTCCTTGTTCAACAGAAAGGTAGTGTACTCCTGTGTTTTCACTACAGATTGTAGTACTTGTGACACTTTAACTCCATGATTGCTCTTTTGTCTAAATTGTGAAGGGTAAAACTGCATTGATTAGTTGCCCTAGAGCCCATGTTGAATAAAAAAGATTTGATCAGCAATAAAATTCTAACTATTGGCGTGATCAATAGTTTTAAAAAAGAAAATAATGTGCCTAAAATACTAGATAAAGCTGTAACTATTATGGGTTCAGGATTTCGATTTATTTATTTCTCTTTTTTTAAACTTAAGCTAATATGCCTATATAACACCTTGCTACTCGGAAATATTTTCAGGTTCCCACCGGCCCTCCTAGTTAACTAGTTCATTTATCAAAGTTCTTCTCTGTCTGCATTAAAGATAAAACCTATCACAATATATAGTATAACTGTTGCAATGGGTAAGCCCCTGTTCGTGGATTCTACTACAGCTTCTGGTGTTCGCCCTAGCATAGCTAGGGTTTGTGTGGAGATAGACTTGCTCCAAACTCTCCCGTTGAGAATTTGGATTAGTAATGGGGAGTGAAGAAGCGCTGAGCTTCCCCGGACTGAGCTGAACTGATGAGCTCGGCGTGCTGATGGGAGGAGTCGATCCAAGCCTGCAAAACAAACAGAGAATGAATCTAACAGGGGAGCTCCGAGGTCGTCCCCGAGGGCACTCGACGGTCAAATTAGTTCTCCGACGGTGAGTGCAAGTCACGGGAAACCAAACAGTCGGGAGTAGTTCCTGTATAGTGAGCGTACCTTGTGTAGTTTGGTGTGTGTTACCTTTTATACTTGCTCGAGAGTCCGACCTCCGTACGTTTCGGGACTTGCCCGCGTATAGCCTCAATCCCGCGTTGAGGGGGATCCTCCCCGCCCTCTGCGGGATTGCTCCCTGGCGCCTTCCTGAGCCCTAGTGCGCGGTGTGCCCAAGGTGGTTGTCGGGGGCCTGAACCCCAGGCCCAGCTCTGCCCTTCCTGGCTGCCACGTGCCTAGGCCCAGGACGGCGGCCTTTGCACTAGCCCCCTAGATTAGGTAGGTCTTCCGGGCAGATCTAATCTATATCTCCGCCACGGCGGTAGGACCAGCGCCGCGCACTACTCTGCCCGAGTCACTCCTGGCACAGTACTGTTACTGAAAAAATTGCGTCCATGTCCTTTCGATTGTCGCGTCCCTTCGGTTTTCGTACTACCATTAAATGCTTCATATAGGACGGTTCAAATTCGAGCAACTGTTTCCCCCCATTTTCTTCCTTATAAATAGGGGCTTCCAGACTTCTTCAACTCTATTTGCCATTTTTCCTTCCTTGGCATTTTCAATTTCCGGCAACAAGATCCAGGCTCCCAGCGCCCAGATTCCGGCGATTCCCTCACCTTTTCCCATTCTGTTCACCAGTAAGTCCTTCCTCTTTTCTTTCGCCATTTTCCTTTCCTTCGCCACCTTCTGCTTTTTATGTCGGATCACTTCGGCGTCACTTTCACCGCATCTCAGATTCCGACCCGTCGTAGAGCCCCTAGGATCTCATTTCTTCCTCATCCTCATCCTCATCTTCTCCTCCTCCTCTCTCTTCTTCCTCTGCATCTAATCCTCACTTCCCCATTCCTGACCTGCTCGAACCCATTGATGTAATGAGCTCTCCCTCCGTCCATTCTCCTTCCACCGAATCCTAGAGGAGGTGGCCGAGATCGATGCCTACATCGAGCGACAGGCCACCTCCATCCCTTTCCCCAAGTCTCCACATGACTCCCCTGGCGAGCCCAAGGAGGAGCTGGGGAGGATAGGGATTCCTCCAAGGGGCGGGCAGGGGGATGATCCTGAATTCAACTATGGTTACCCGACCAGCAGGAGGCCACCCTCTCACCCGGAGCGGTGCCGAGCTGGCCGAGATTTTTTCCATTCTTCCGGCCTTCGAGCCTAGGGCGGTCGGGCCGACGACCGAGCCAGCCGACTTCCCCTTGGTTTCGTGGCCATCTATAGGGAGCAGTTAATCACAGGCTCCGACTCCCATTCCTTCAGCCCTGGCCGAGATTCTGAGCTACTGGGGCTCAGAATCACCC